AGATCAGCTTATGACACAACCCATAAGGGATTTACTTTTTGGCATCACTGGGGATGACCCTCGCAATGTAAGAAGCTAAGAAAGCAGATCCCAAAATAGGGGTCTTGACTCCAACAAAAAAAGTCTTAAATCTTGCAGGAAAGATCACTGCCCCAGAAAATGGAGCATCAAGAAGAAAACTTTCCAAAACTCCTGAGCTAAGGGGTTTTTCTCCAAGAATCTGACAACTTTCCCTCTCAACTGAAAGCTGTTTTGCGATACAAATCCTATATTGAAGGTAGTGGCCTTTGTAACTCTATATTCCTCTGCAGTATAAGGAGCAGCAGGACAAACACAAGCTCCTATAGAAGTGACCTGGGTTATCAGGCAAGTCTGTGATTAGACCTGCTCAGAAAATGGAATTTTGTCCACGGGGAGACCACACTGGCCAACATTTTCCAAGCAAAAGCACTCTGTCTGTACATTCCTATCCTCTTTGCCTGTAAGTGGTTACAACAGGCACTACTGACTGGGGACCAGTTACAGGGGCCAGTCCTAGCCCCTAGTCCCTGTGTATGTCCCAGGCTTAGCTGTATGGGATCTAGGCAGTCTGGACTGAAAGGTAAATCACAGGACAACAGCAGAATGCCAGAGCATTTTTCATGACCTTTCTAATGAAGATATTCAGATCTCAAAATGTTACCAGCTGAAAGGACAGTCATGCCTTCTCTAACAGCTCTGCAGTGAGAATATGAATGACTCTGCACCACCAGATAAAAGGTATAAATGCCAAGGGGAGAGAAAAATGGCTTGGGTCAGTCCAAATGCATCTCATTAAGGAAGAAATAACAGCAAGAAAAACAAGAAAATGAAAGGTTGGGGTGAAGGACTACTTAGCTCAGAGTGTGACACCCCATATAATTCTCACCAACAAAATGCATGATGCCTTATCTCGCATGCCTTTGCATGTGTGAAACATGGAAAACAACTTCAAGATTAGATGCCTGCAATCATGCCTGCTTATACAGATGCACACATGCATGCCTCCTAGTAAATAGAACTACTGATTTGTGAGGCCACTTCCCTTTCTGTGTTTTTCTGAACCTCTGCTGATTTCCTCTTGTGGAGTTTCCAGATGGTGTCCTTATTGAAATGGTGGCTCAGTGTTCCCCTGGACCCTTACATGGTTAAGCAATTAGCCACTGCCACAATGGGAAACACCTTTTACGATTCAATTTGATCTTTTTCAAGGATTACTAGAAGCACCCACTCTCACTGTAGTGAAATTTTAGGCTGCAATAAATGATTTTACCATAAGAGGTTTTAACTGTCGTAGGCATCAAAATGGCTTTGCAATGGCTACGAGTACATTTAACTCAGAAGTCTGACAGTCCCATGTGCTCAACAGCACACTGAATGATTCAGTAATGACAGTGTACATATCTCCCCAGGGCACCCCAGTGTGAAGATGCACAGAGCTTGCAGCCCCATCCCCAGAAACAAAAAGGCATCTCACTCCCTTGGCTGCATGTGGGCAGAGAAACAGCTTTTTTTTCAGATCACACTGAGCATCTGTGAGCAAAGGCACCAGGGATGATTACACCTCACTTCTGGATGTCCCTGACAAGTCTCCCCCTATTCATTCACCTCATATTGCATTACCTGTATGCAGGAGGATTTCTATACCATTTGCAAAACTGTGGCAGTAGAGATAAGCAGCAAGGTGTGGCAGGAAGCATTATCAGTTGAAGAGATAACACAACCCACGGCTGATACCAGACCAGGGCACAAACTAGCTGTCTTATGCCTGCATTGCAAAAGGCAACATCTCTCCTCATAGCACAGTATTTGTAAGCTGGGGCACTGGAATAGGTCCAGAAAGGAAAGGATGGATTTTCCAGCACACCAACCCACTTTACATGATGCCTGGGGCATGGGAAAGAAACACCCCCCCCCCCCCCCCCCCCCCCCCCCCCCCCCCCCCCCGCTCTATGCAAGATAAGAGGCCTATGTTGAAACAGGGTTACCCCAAGATTGGTATCTGGAGCAGGTGCAGGTATTTGGCTTTCTCGGCAAGTGCAGCATTCACAAATGGAAACAGATTTTTTTCAACAGAGCTGATACCTCATTTGGGCAACAAACCTAGCATCCAGGCTTCCAAAACAGAGCTCCTCATGCTGGGAGCAAGCATGGGCGAAAAACAGAACCTATAATGACAGTCACTGGAAGTATTTCTAGACAGCACTACATGTGCTCAGCACCTGTTAAACACTCTTGTGTGGATCCTTCAAAATTCCTCTGGCCCTTTTTTGGCACTAATGCTTGAGCATCAGTTACTTAGACAGCTGACTTCACCTCTTCAAGCCTCATGATATGGAGATAAATATTTCTACATTTTAGAAACTAAAATGCAATTAAAATATTTTCTATACTCTCAATGAGTATAGTAAGAAGTTTTAGAGATTTTGTATGCAAAAACTTAAACTACAGATTTATTGTTTCAAATAGATTTCAAAGAAACTTTTCACTTAAAAACAGAATGTAATTTTCTTCTGCATATGGACCTTCGGCCAATCCCTCTGTCCTTCCCAAACATCCTCCTAAAATTGCTAACATAAGGAAATCTGAAGCACTCCAGCTGCTAGATTAATCATCTACATGCTATACTCAAATCACACAACTCAATTTCACTTCTGAGATTGTGAAAAAGATGGTTTCCTAAGTAATTCTTCTGGTATGGCTTAAAGAAATCACAGCACAGAGAACATGCACACAGCCAGAATATGGTAAGAGATACCTGGGCATGTTCCTGTGCAATTAACTTCCTTCTGGATGAGGATATGCCCAGTGAAAGAAACCTGCAACAAGCACAGGGCTGATGCATTTCATAAGACAACATGAATGTTAATAATGAAAAATCATTTCACAAGCTTACAAAACTAAAATGGTCAGCTCCTGTAAAAATGCCAGCGGAGGAAGACAGGTATGAGCTCAGGAAAGTCAGTTATAAAACAAACGGGGTTCCAAACTCTGTTTTTATGATTCTATGTTAAAGGAGAATTCAGAGAAACAGTACCACTTCTGCCATGGATGATTTTTTCTGCAAGATGATGTCTGGTTTGAGTACAAAGTGTCAAAAATTTCTACAAGTGACAGCTAAAACAGCTAAAACAAGTGACAGATGCAAAGTACAGTTGCATTGTTTTAATAACTGTGTTCCCAATTTTATAATAAGGAATATAAAACTTACTTGACTAGAACAAACCACTTTACTTTCCTAGGAAACCAGTTCACCTTTCAAAGCTGCCTCTGTTAAAGCTGACAAGTGCTTAAAACCATGAACACCTTAAAGCAGTGAATTTAAACCAGCAGTACAGGCAAACACATGATGCCTGTAACCCATGACAGGAACACAACCTCAGACATGCATCCTAGTAGATTGCAACAGTCAGTCTGACAGCTGATACTGCCTTCAGAATGACTGTACCTGCAACCAGCCCTACGAGAGAACTCCTGACAATATGCAGATTTCTCTTGAACAACTCCCAAGTGCAGAAAATAGTCTTGCTTTTCATGCCTTCCTAATTATTCCCAGTCATTATCAACATCTCATCCTTCACGTTGTCTTCCACCAAAAAAATCCCAGGATCTTTGGCAAAAACTGTTGCATCAGTGAGAGGGTTTCCCCTAAATTTAAAGAGACCTTGATAAAACCATTTGTTAATGATTCCAGAAACTTGTAGGGACTGCAAAAATTCTGTGAAAGACATATGGAAGACAGAAAGACTCAAAATGAGTGCATGTTAAACATTTCCAAACCCTTCCAAGTTTTGGAATGCTAAAATATGTTGGAACATTAAAACATTTCCAAAATGTTTTAACATTTTAATGCATACAAGAAGCTTTAATCAGAATATGATAATCCAGGACCCAGGAGTGATTACTGCATGCCTCAGTAGGGGACTGCCAGCTTCCCTTTCCACATGAGAAAATTGTCACAATTATTAGCTTCTAGTATGTGCTGGCACATTAGAAACAAATTTACCTCAGAACTAAATCTTCCTAGGAATCTTTTTGGGAAAAATACACATTAAAAAAGAGAATGCATTAATTTGGCAGGGAAATCTGCCCCTGTTCTGCACATGCATGACTATTTGTGGCAGATCATGAGTTTGCAATTGGTATTTTTGATCCTGTCTGCAAGGAAGAAAATGGACTCCTGAGAGCTCTTCCAAGCTTTCATTTTTGCTATTCTAAGATTGGATTGATTCCCAAGCAAATGAATTACTGGATGCAGGTTAGACACTCCAGGGTACATAATGAATGGGAGGTTTATTATTATTTATATATATATAATGTGTGCATGTGGCTTTGCAATTAGCTCATGGGTTTAACTTCCAGACGTGTGTGAGCAATAGGAAAGAGAGCAAGCAATGCCTGCGTCTGTGCTCATAAATCCTTCCCACATAAAATTTGTCTCCTCTTGGTCTGTCCTTGACCAAGTTTGTCCAGCCCATAGTCCCAGGAAGGCCCAGTAGAATGACTCCTACCCTGCTGTGGAAGAGCAAGTCTTATTGCTGTGATGTGTGACAAGTACCGAGGGGAAAAGAGAAAGCCAAAAGCACACAGGTCCTCCCCTGGTACACACCTGTAACACACACCTTTAACACATTTCAGTGAAAATCCATCTCCAAAAAGCTCCTCAAGTGCACATCCTACACCATAGTTCAGCAGGCCTGCCAAGTGTGCTGGCACTCTGGCTCAGCCCAAAGTCTGCTTTCGAGGCACAGTCCAAAGCATCCAACCCTCAAGAAAGTGGTTCCACAGGAGCCAAAGGGATCAGGGAAACCATACACAGCAGCAGCTGCTGCTCAGCCTGAGCAATTCCCCTTTATTTTCCCACTGGGAAACCTACTCTAAAGACAACATTCACCATGGGTCTGGGAGCTGGTATTCCTCATCCCCCTCCAGCCTAGTGCTTCCACACAGCACAAGCGCCCTCCTGAAATCCTGGCCTGTACCTTGTTCCTCCAGCAGACACCGAAGGGCAGGTTGCCTCTGCAGGTCCCCGGGAGAGCAGTCTGGGAGGCACCTCCAGGCACAAAGGATCCTACCAGGGAAAGCAGATTTGCTAATGGGCTCAGCCAGCTCTGCCTCCACAGCCATCCCATCCTGGGCACCAACAGTACAGGCACAATCCATGGTAGCTTGGCACACCTGCTCTGGCATTCTGCTCCCAGCCAGTGATGGCTCTGATGTCACAATGGAGTTGAACACCTCCCAAAAGCGGCCAAGGGAGAGGAGGGGGAGCTGCCATGCCCTGGCTCCCTGATGAGAAGCAGGACCCATCCCACACAACCCCAGCCCTGGGAGGGGCTGCCGCCATGCCTGGCCCCCACAGGGCTCTGCAGCAAATGCAGAGCAAAGACACAGCTGCCACTGGACAGGCAGCATTACTTAGGTGAGGGAAGGCATCACCTGAGTGTAACTGAGAGCGGCTTCCTTAGGATGGGGCATGAGGGTGGCCCACTGAAGGGCTGTACCAGGTCCTGGCTGGCAGGCACCGTGCAGACAAGGGAAAAGCAAGAGGAAGGCTGGAGCCCAAAGAAGGCCCAAGGAAGGGAAGAATAGCTCAAGTGAAGCTGATGCCATGGCCAAGCAATGGAAATCACTGGCAGCACTCCTGCAGAGGTGTGATTTTGGCACAGCTGGCACATTGTTAGGAGAACTCTGGGTCCCTCTTTTCTGCTTTTACCCTTCCTTTAGTGGGAGCAGCATGCCTCTTTATGCTGCAATTCAAGCCTCTCCTCCCTAGCAGAATAAAGGTAGAGATTGTAGAATCATAGAATATCCTGAGTTTTAAGAGAACCCAAAGAATCATTGAGGCCAACTGCTGGCCCTGCACAGGATAACCCCCGAGAAATTCAGACCACGTGCCTGAGTGTGTTGTCCATGCACTATGTGAGCTCTGGTAGGCTTGGTGCAGATGGGAAGAGAAAAGGTGCACTCTGGCTTTGTCTAGACTACCGCTTTAACTCACTCTAATTGCTCCCCAATTAGCCAGAGTTAGCTAACACATTTGTAAACACCAGTCTAGACACTGCACAAACATTTGTTCTAAGACACATATGTAAAATAGTTAAGTGGATGCTAAAGCAATTAGGTATAATCATATTACTTCCTTTTCTCGCATCCCTTTTCACCTTTAGCTGGAGCACAGACTGGAGCTCTGTACAGCAGGACCTTTTTTCAAAAAGCACTACAAAGGTAAACCTTAGGGCTATCACATGCAAAACCCTGATAAGGTGCTATTAGTTCCCAGCCAACTTTCAAAGACACAGTACCATAGGGTTTTTACATCAGCAGACATTCAATGCACACAGAATCCACTAAGTAGGAGTAAAAGCCTTCTGAGTTTCTCAATTTTGATTTATATTATCTTTTTAAAAAAATCATTAGGCAATAGATTTTGTGGTGTTCTCTATACAGACAGACCCCTCAACCCCTTTGTTATGGCTGTATATCAAAATGTAAGGTTTGAACGTGACATTCACACTTCTGCTACTTTAGCACGCACAGCAACACGTTCCCCTCTGATTTTCTTTCAAAGATGCCTTATCAGTCTTTATATATGATCATAATGTGGAGCATATATCAAAGGGATTCTTCAGAGCTGGAGAAGAATTGCAATCTCTGAGCACTTTCACAATCCTGTGAGCAAAAAACAGGTTAGGGGTTTCCAAATCTAGCTTCCAGCTCCACACTCACGCCTCCCTCCCCACAGCTGTCAGAATTCTGCAGCTTATACCCAAAGCAGAACAGAAACTGGCATCTGGATGGACAAAAAAAAATCCATTTCTACAAGGTTCTTGGGATAAAAAAAAAATACACTCTTCTTTTCATCGCAGGTCCAAATAGACAATGCAGCCTCTAAATGAACCTCTGTTTCTCTTCTGCAGGGGTTGCAAGCCAGGGGCAAGCAGGTTGCAAAGGCCTCACCATTCATGTCCCAGGGTGTGCTTCCCCTAAGGCTGACAGCAACCACCACTCCTTTTTTTAAGCATGTCATTTGACACGCTTTGGTTTGGATGGCCAAACTTCATCCTAGTAATGCATTTCCCTAACAAGCCAGCTCTCATGTGAATTCAAAATGACACCAATTTCACAGCTAACCCTCATGGCACAAAGAAAATTTCAAAATTATTCACAGAAATTTTATAATGTTTTCCTTCTGGGTCTGAAAAAGAGAAAGAATCTTCAAATTCATATCATCCAATGCTTCAGTCTTATTTCTTGAAATGCTCCAAACTGCTCAATTTCAAGCTGTTTTAGCATTAAGATGCATTTTCCTTTGTCTTATAAAAGTCTAAGGAAGGTTAAACGCCTCTTCTTTGCTACAGGCTGTGCTATGTAGATCATCTCTCCTGTGATTTAGCTCTGCCTAGTCAGAAGGGAACCACCTCATGTACCATTCTGGTTTATTCTTAAAGTTCAGCTGGCTAGAGAAGAGGGTGAAAATGACAACTCCCCTCACCCTAATAAAGGAAAACAAAATTAGCTTCATGTTTTTTTGGAACTAATGAGAAGTCAAAAGTTCAAGCATACTAAAAATGAGTATGCTTTTGCCTGGGTCAAAACTTGACTCAAAATCCTCCACTTTAATTTTATTAATAACAGCATGGTGAAAGAAAAAGAGAAAAATGTTGAGAAATTGGCTGTGCACTAAAACTTCCAAACCTACTTTAGTTTCAGCTCTCTCCAGGTGCTTGGCAAAGCAGCTCACCTGTGTTTTGAACAAATGATCTTTAGCTGAGATATGCTTGTCTGCCCACACCAGTTTTAGCAATCAGAAATCACTCTGTTCATTTGCAGTTTTTTGGTGTTAAGGGAAGATGGCAGCCAGTGCACCTTGAAGAGACCAGGTTTCTGCTTGCCAGGTGGTAAGTAAGCTGTGGCTGCTGGAAGTCAGCACCCCCTGCCTTGCTGCTGCTGAAGATGCTGGGTACTGGTGCCAGTCATGATGGGACTCTGTTACGCACGCACAGTCTACCAAATTTAAGTTGTAGGTGGAGCCTGCTGTCAAGAGTTTTTAAAATAAAACAAAGAAGAAAGAAAGGAAGGGGGAAAAAATGTACATTTTTAACCTCATGGCAACTGTCAGAAGTTATCTCAAGTGGAAAAATATCATACTGATAGCATACTTTGGTTTTACCACAAGATAAACTTGGTAATGTCAGCCTCAGGCTCAGCTAACACAGACTGACCTGACCTAGATTATTTAAAAAAAAAAACAAAACCTGATTTTTCTGTGGTTCTCTGCTCATTAACCACATTACATTGAAATAAAAAAGACCTAAAATGCATCAAAGGTGCCTTTCCAAAGGTGGCTAAATTATTTTCAGATTATAACAAACAATTCCTTTTCCACACCAAATTGAGGCCTGTATGTAAGAAGTCTGCCACCCTCCTGTCAGAGATGGTCCGAAGTTCCCCTCATTTTTGCCTCACAATCGTCTCAATGGCAGAGACTAAGATCCTGAAGACCTCGATTGGAGTTCTGGCCTGGCTGAGGTGGATGCTCACCAGGGGATTGTTTGCAGGTGTGTTTGGTGTGTCACCACGTTGCCCTGCTTTGACCAGGGCCTGGCAAGGAGCCGCTTGCTCTATATGCTTACACCTGCTTCACAATACCTGCTCATCACAACAGCCCATGAATTTGCCCACCTCTTGGCCAAATGAACTTTCTGGGGTAACTTCGGTGATCTCCCACGGAAGATCCCTCATCTGCCTCGCAACCACCGTGATGGATGGAGATTGAAGATCCCTCCCAAGGACTGAGACCCCTATAATCCTAACACAGGGGCGCTGGCCTGACTAAAGCAGGATGTCTACCAAGTGCTACCTGCAAATGTGTTCGCTGGACCAAGACTGGTTTCCCATGGTAACCAGTCCTGAAACATGGGCCCTGCTCACTGCTGAAATTGACTTGCCCTGCTATGGCATGGACTGCCTGTACCCATTTTTCAATAGACTTATTTCTCCATTGCCTTTTACCTGTTCCACCCACCTCGGCGGAGAACTATAAAAGACCCCTAAATTAGCCAAGAGTTTGAGACTCTCCCAGATGGACATGATGGATCTATTGGCTGGACCACGAGGACTTTGTTTCTCTGCTGGTAGCTATATCTCCCTTCCCCTCTTTCTCCCTCTCTCTCTTTCATTTTCTTTCTAATCCTTCTATCACATTTGTTGTGGGCACTCAATAAAAGGTGCATTTGTTGTGATTAAACTGATGGTCCCCTGCTGTTTGTCTCTTGCACTTTTGGGATCTGTAAACGAGCCATCATGACCCCACTTGTCCTAGTGGATCGCGACACCTCACCATCCACCCCACTGCATACTAGAAATGTAATGAAGCAATAATTGCCTGGATCAAATCCTCCAGCACCAGGATCTACCCTGCTGTTTTCTCTGAGAGATCACCAGGACATGTGACAGCATCCTCAGCAGGCTGCAGGTGACATGTACTGACCCCACATACACAGAAGGCCATGATGCTCTACTCAGCGTGGATGTTTTAAGGAAGGAAGTATTTAGTGCAGTGACCTAAAAAAGCTCAGGGGCCAGCTGGTCTGAAAGCGGAGTGGAAAGAGCAGTCTGTGTGTACACTGACACTCAGTGCCCTTGCCCAGGCGCTGGCTCCAGTGTGGGAAACTGAATGTTGCTTTTGGGAATGAGCAGCAGCTCTGCCATTTACATACATTAATCCTTGGAAGTACAGGAGGCATTATCATTTGCCAGACTTGTTTGCATAATGAGGAACTCTCAAGAGACATTTCTTGGAGAAGTGTTGCCATTAACGTGCGGGTGTTACCACGGCATTTCTATGCAGCTCCCTATCCCCTTCTCCCCTCCCGCCCCACTCACTCCCACTCATTGAAAACGTGAAGTCCCTGCAAGAGCCCCCTGGAGCAGCACTGTTGGATGGAGCTCAATGTGCTCTGTTTTCAGAAGGTTTTCAGACTCCCTGACACCCTTCACATCCAGCCCTGCTCACTCAGCCCAAGGGGTTAGGCTATGCCAATGATTTACTACCTCCCTAAGCAGGCAGAGGGTCAGGCAAGACATTTTCCCTCGTGAATAGCTATCACCTTTTCAACCCTTTCTTAAAAAAGGGCATTGGGCCACATGGAGGTGAGAAGGACTGGGTATGTAAAGGGAACTACCACTGGTGTCCCCTTGAGCCTGAGCCGGGGCAGCAGAGGAGCTGCAGTGCTGCCCTTGGGGAGGCTCCTGGCATCACCCTGACTGAGGGACCTCAGCTCTCCCCTCTTTCTGCAGGGATGCAGTAACCCAGACTCTCCAAGTCTCAACAGAGGGTGAGAGCCCATGTTGCCAGAAAGCCAAAATAATGGCCTCTAGTGGGTTCAGCAGTGTTTTAAGAGCCTGAAAAAATGCCAGGAAGCTATCCACTCCTTCCTCCTCCCTGCCACTGCCCCTTCCAGATGCATTTTTGGGACTGGAAGTGCCAGCAAGCCCCTCCTCTCCCTCCCAGGGGCTGGCAGCACCAGGGAAGGGAAGCCCCGCCAGCCAGTCTCGTCGGCTTCTCCATTTGTTTTCATTTTGTCACCAGACGTTTCTATTTAAGCTACTTGGAAGGATATCTCAATAACAGCCCTACTGGGCTCAAGGAGACAGAGGCTGACAGTGAGTACGCCTTCCTCCTTTCTCCTGAACATCACTCTCATGTCAAAACATGCAGTCATACTGTGAGGGAGATGGGCAGAACCAGGCACACACAGGAGCTCTGTTCTCCACTTTCTACACCCCCTGTACCACCTCAGCCATTGATGGAAACTGAGCTGTTTGTGAATCCCAGGTGCTACATTGCCAACAATCTCAGACAGCTCAGCAGTTATGATGTTAAACCCATGTCATCAAGGGCTGAAGAGATGGCCTACTCTACTCACGTACTTTAGACTGCAGAGCAGAAACATTTATACTCATGTACACGTGCCCATGCAAAATGCCTTCAAACTCATTCCTGCAGATCCTTTGGAGGACTGCATGGTTTTAGCACAGGGTCCATCCTTCTGCATACATAGAAGAGAAGACAGACTTTAGAATGAAACTTGTGTACCCACTCTTTAAAAAGCAAATACTTACAGGGTGTGGGCTGCACCACACACTGCCTCAAGAGATTAGCTCAGGTATCATTCCTGATGCTACACTGCACACAGTGTAGGTGTTCTGAGCTGACCCTACCGATGACCACTGCAAGACACTCTTGAGCCAACCTGAGCTACCACAGCCAAAGGTCAGAGATGCAAAGAAGTTGTTCATTACATTTTCAAGGGAAAGTAATTTCCAAGGATGTTACATAATTACAGTTAGGAGTGGGAAGTCTACCCTGTGGGAATTATGAATGGAAACTCAGGATCCAGATTTTACTCTCAGCTCTGTTGCTGACAAACTGTTTGAATCCTGGCACTTCATCTATCCACACTTCGCTTTCCCTTGTATAAACTTGTGGATGTTTTTGCAAACCTGTCCTTGAGCAGAACACAGCACACAAGCGCTTGTTATTGTCACTGGTGTCACACTGATGGCCTGTGTGCAGTTTGCACAGCTGAGTACAGTCAGGCTGTATGGGGCCTGCGGTTCCCTGCATCAGTGTTTGTGCCAGGCTGTGCCTGCTGGGCAGTGCCTGCTGGGCAATGCCTGCCTGCACCCCCTGGGGCAGCCTGTGCACAGCTGTGTGCAGCTGTCACATCATCTCTGGAGGAGGCTGCATCTTCTGTCACATTCCCCTGCATGCTCAGCGATACATATTCACACTCTGGATAGGGATGACTGTAAGTGGGATGAATATTTAGACCTGACTATCTCTGAGTGCATCTCTGTGTACACATGCATATGAGAACTGGGTCAGGAGAATCTCTCCTCTTTCATGTAACTCATCACAAAATCCCTATACCCAATGTCACCTTTGCAAGTTGTTTGCAAGGCCCTGATTAAAACATCTGTTTCTCTTCGTGCTTTGCTGAGTGAGAACAACATCCACAAAAAGAAATGGAAGAAGCCATTAGCTTAGTCTCCAAGGGGGAACCCTTGAACAGCTCAGAAAAGCCTGTGCCAAGGGGAGGACACTGGAAAGTGAGAGCCAGCCAAGGAAAGAGACAGATGGGGCCAGCTCCACTCCAGTTCTCATCTGCCTTTGCTGCAGTGTGCACATAATATTCTTACAAGGTTTAATTTATAAACCCAGCTCATGTTTATAAACTCTCCTGTCCTAATGGAAATGAAAACATTAATACAACCCAAGGATTCTTCACTTTCCAGGTTTTAATTAAAATCATAGGTGTTAAGAAGCAAGAGTGTCTTCGTGGAATACAAGTCTAATGAAGTATTTCCTCACATAGCAGAAATCTCTGTGTGCAGTCCCAGATCCCTGGCACCAGGTGCCCAAAACACCAACCCCCTGGAACCAGGAATTCGCTTCTTGAGAATTTGAAAAACAGATTATCCTGCAATTTGTTTCAAATAAATGTAGGTGCCAAGATGGAGCTGGAAAAATAATACTAAGTAGGAAAAAGAAACCCCAACAACCTAGCACAGCCATAAAACTTGATCGCTTAATTGACTAACTGGAGGCAATTGTGACTTCACTACATGCCAGTGAGAAGGGGCTGCATGGCAAAAAGGAGAGGACTCCATGTGGGGCCGTGTATGAAAGCACAGAAGAGGAAAAGCAATGGGAAGGAAGCAGCAAAGTGAGAAAAGGCAGCACAGAAGGTTGGAGCAAGGGCAATTAGGGACAGTGGGAAGGCAGGTAAAAATGCAAACACATGAAAATTTGCAAGACCAGATCTAACTGACCTGTTCCCTTTGTCTCCCACGGGACCAAAGGAAAAAGCAGGAAAGGAACCAGCATGGAGTGACATACATGTGTAGACACAGGTGAGGGGACTGATCTTTGGCAGGTGTAAAGCTGGCTGGAGGTCAAGGCTGATGGCCAAACACCAGTTACTGCAAAATGAAGCCCAGCAGAAGCAATTTTCCTTCACCATCATTCTCCAGGGGAAAAAAAAGGTCCAGTCTGCAAACT